ATACCAATAATGCATCAGTACAAGTTAGGGCTCAACTATAGGTGCAATCCCGAAATAATCTAACACCACCCGAATAAAGGGGTGGAGTGGTATTCCCATGCTGCACTTTAAAAGAAATTCAGTGGAGCGGTATCCAGGAGGAAGGCCGTATGCAGGATAATTCGTCGAACAAATTATGGGCAATGTAATCCCATATTGGGACCTTATTCGTTCAAATTCTACCTCCGAAAGGTCGTAGGTGTAAATGAACCTCGAGCAGAGAGGTGGCAAGAAGAAGAACTACCAACCCCATGCCTTTGGCTGCTCTCGATTGACACATGAGTAAACTTGGCAAAAAGGGCAACACTTCTTGAGCTGCCCACATTGGTCCTGGAAGTACTAGCTCCCATTCCTCTCCTGTCATTTCTCCTTCTCTGTTGCACAGGAGTACCCTTTAGCAGATATCCTGTGGCAAAAGGAGGGGCAGCATGAATAGGAGACTTTGTCTATCTCTAAAGGCCCTTTTACTCTTTCTGACAAAGCCAACAAAGAAGAAGATGACGAAGGCTCACCGTTGTCTCCTTCATTATAATGACGGACATTGTCAGAAATATTATCGCTCATCTCGTGAGAAACACACAAAGAACCAATTAAAAAAAAAAAAAAAAAGACTCATTTTATTACCAAAACCTAAAACAAACTCCCACTACACCAATGGTAGTATAAACTCGGTATACTCATACACTCCTTTACCCACGCATGCAACAACAAAGCTCACAACCAAACTTCTACTAGAATGAAAAATATACAAAAGAGAGTACAAAACTTTGATATAATGGTACGGTAGAGGTGAAGATCCTGAAGGAGAGGGATCCTTAGAACGAAAATGGTGTTAAGGTTCTTACTAGACGAGAGAGGGAGAAAACGAAATTTGATAAGGAATGAGAATAGATAAAACCATTCAATTTCCCTCTTAAATACTTGTCCAAAAACACATCCCTAACCATCCATTTACCACACGTGGACACAATTGGAACACATGTGACCATAATCAAGGAAGTGGGGGTAGGTAACTGGCAAAAAACTTGGGAGAACGTATAACCTCCTGATAAACATTAAATGTCCGAAAAGAGAAAGTCGTTTTAGGTTTGCATATACTCATTATACCAACCGCGCTACATTAAATGCGGTCAGATGTGTCCAACTAGCGGTCAATCATATCTCGAAAGATAAAACAAAAAGAAAGAAGGTCAACAGTCAGAACCCCAATGGACACTATAGTCTCAGGATACAAAGCATTGACTTAGACAAACAATTCACGAGAAGCTAGGGCTTGAGATGGATGATGTTGCTAGATGTTCCCCACCAATCCATAAAAATAGCTCGCAATTCTATAATTCATAACAGCTTGTAATAAGAGTTTGTTATCAATAACTCATGGATACTAATTAGAATTCGTTATAGTAGCTTGTGATGAGCAGCTCACACACATCAAGAGGAGCTCGCTAAAATAGCTTGTGACAGACAATTCGTAGGTACAGGTCGTCAAGGGTAAAGTTTTTGAAGCTTGAGTTCGAGCTCCGAAAACTAGGGGGTAATTGTTGGATGGTAAAGCATGCAAAATAAAGAATCGACATGTGTCCTCAAGGTGGGTCCTCATTGAAAGATGGAATACATGGAGAGTGATGCATTTGATACTATAACATGTATATTCATATTTTGCAAAAAAAATCAATCAAATTGAAAACAAGTAAGGTATAACTTGTTACCTCAAGTCCTTAGCAACCTTGGAGACTTTTAATTTCAAGAGAAATTAAACAAAAGAGTATCCACACCAAGGTAGAAGAAGAATTAGGCCAAGAGAGATATTTAGGGTTCTTAGAGATTTTGATCTCTACACAAAAATTGATATATCATTTTCTTTATATATGTAGCCTTGTAAACAATTCAATAATTGTTTTGGACTTCCTTAAACAATTCCATAATTGTTTTTGGAGTTGTAAATAATTCCATAATTATTATGAAGTTGTTAANGGGGGGGGGGAGGGGAAGGGGGGAATTGTTGGATGGTAAAGCATGCACAATAAAGAATCGACACATGCCCTCAAGGTGGGTCCTCACTTAGTAGAAGAAACTTGCAAGGGAAGGAACAAAGACACCCTTGACAGAACCAAGTGCCCTCTTGCATGAAGAGAGCTTCACCAATACGAATGCGGCCTAGTTATCTCTCCACGTGTCTGCTTGCATGAGAATTACTTCACCCATCAAAACAAGAATGCAGCACCACATGTCCAATTACATGTAAACTACTTCACACTCAAGATTAGCTCCAAAACACTATAAATAAGGGGTCCTCACCCCGCACAAGAGATACATCAACATCTTCTTACTCTAAGAACCATTTTTCTTTGTAATCTCAGCAATAAAATACTAGTGGATGTAGGAATTGCTTATTGCTTTCAAACCACTTTAAAAATCGTTCCTACCCACTTTTTATTTATTCTTTTGCATTTATTACTTAGCACATCACTCATTTTCTACACACAAATCTCACTAAATCCATCCAATTCACGATCTTGCAAAGATCCTTTGCGTAGACTTTTTGAAGGCTTGCGTACTTCTCGTTCGTATGAAAAATCGCATCAACACAATTAAAGATTCATTATGAACTTGAAGAGAGGTTAGGGTTTACAACTTTAACTGAAATAACAAATGCCCATAAAACAAGACGCACCAAAAACACTAAACAAAGACCCAAAAAAGCTTCGATTGCTCAAAACCTTGCTTATAGCTACAATTTCACTAAAAACCAATCAATTTCATCTGAAAATAACAAATAAATGCTAAACAAAGCACTAAAATAATTAGGTTTTATACCTCCAAAGCTTGCTTATAGCATCTAAACTTCCTCAAACTCCTCCATGCTCTCAGTCGGATGAAGAGAAATCTTAGAATAGGGTGAAGCTATTTTCTGTTGGAAATTAGTAGGATAGGCCAAAGTTAGAGCAATAAAAAAGTCATTCCTCCAACCGTCGACGGTTCTTTATCTCGTGGACATCAAACAATTCGATTTTCAATGCAATGGCCAAACAATTCTCTTTGCACACCTGAATGTGCCAAGATTTTACTTTTTCATCTGCCAAAAGTCCATTTTACCATTTGCCCTTCCTTCATATCCACTTGGCACCCTAGGGACACTATGCTGTAATTATTTTAATATTAACTTTTTGGATTAGTTTTACGAAACCCCTCTTATCAATTAACTAAATAAGGATAAATACCATTTAAACTTTTAGGAGTTTGTATTAGTTGTGAAAAAAATAAAAAATAACATGCTTATATAATTGTGGTTATACAATCCTTTTAGATTAAGATTCCTCATAAATCTTTCCTAGATTTCTTTTTATGATAAAAACAAGCCAATCTTAATTAAGAAAATAATCATAGACATGCATTTTGTGTATGGTTTAATGTCGCATATAATAAGGGTATTTTTGTCCAAAATTTTTATTAATAAGGGGTAAAATTGTAACAAAAATAAAATTACCAAACAGGTGTTTTTATGAGCTTATAAGCTAGTCAAAATTCTAAAATTAAGTTGACCTATTTGTTTATAATTTTTTTGGGCTTATAAGCAAAAAAAAAAATAATAATAATAAGTTAGGAGGAAGGTACTTTTTTTTTTTTTTTTGCTTATAAGCTAGTTTGACCAAGTATATTACCACATTACCCTTATTAATTTAAAAATTCTATCATATACCCTTATTTTTGTGAAGGTAAAAGACAACATTTTCACTGCAAAAATCTTCTTCCTTGTTCATACGAAGGGTTTAGGGTTCATTGCTTTCTTTTCATCAACAAGGTAAATAGATCGAACTCTTTTCAGTAATACTCTTTCACAATAATCTTTGTAAAACCCACTTCAGATTACGTTTAAATATCCCCATTTTAAGCTTTGTTTTTCAATTCAATTTTTTTCATTTGGGTCTGTTTAAATATGATGAATTACCTTAATTGAACTTGTTAATGGTTCGTTTTTTTTTTTTTTTTTTAATTTGAGATTTTGTTCTTGTAATTTTGTAGTTTAATGGTGGAATTTGAGATGACCTATTTGTTTAATTTTGATATATTGTTGTTTCTGAGTTTCCTTCTATGATTTTTTTGGTGAATTTGATATGACCCATTTGCTTGATTTTGACTTACATGTTGAAATTAAGGTTTTAGAGTTTAATTGAGCTAAAATTATGCTTTTTTAGTGTTCAAATTTGTGATTTTGTTGTTATTTATTCTTCAAAGTTTTGAATTTGAGATGAATTTGATTTATCATTTTTAGTTAGGTTGTTGAACATGGATTGATATAGTTTAATGATCAAGTGTGGGCATGTCCACTAGAAACAGTCCAACTAGGACCATTTTTTTCTATTGATGTCTACTTAGAATTTTGTGATCGTAGAGGAAAATGATGTAGAAAGCTGTTAGTGTTGTTAAAACTTTTGCAACTTTTTTGCTTATTCTTTGTGAGAATTGTGAATTTATGTGTGGGTTCTGGTTTATTAGAGATGGTGCTGAGATAATTTGTTTTGCAGTTCTGATCAATTTCTTGTGAATGACTTTGTATGGGATATTTGATTCAATATTATCATGTTTGCACTTCAATAGATTGATTTTCCCATCTTAATATTAGATTCAATATTCCTTCAGTAGATTGGTTTGCACTTCAGTAGATAATTTGTTTTGTAGTTCTGATCCATTTCTTGTGAATGACTTTGTATGGTTTTCCCATCTTTCAATCTAAAATTCTAGATGGATAAAAGTACAACAAAAGTAACACAATCTCAAGTATCAGCAAAATGGGATGATATGCTCCACTTTAATTTTATTGAACTTTGCGAAGAAGAAATTAGAAAAGGAAATCGACCAAATTGTCATCTTATGTTGGATGGAACAATTTGGTCAAGGCATTCAATGAAATGATTGGTATTAATTATAATAGAAAGCAGATGAGAAATCATTGGGATGCCATGAAAAAAGATTGGACTCTTTTCAAGCAATTGATGCGAAGGGAGACAAGTTTAGGCTGGGATGATATGAGAAAAACAATCATTGCTAATGACGAATGGTGGAATGATAAAATAAAAGTAGTTGCAACTTTTATTTGTTTATTTATGTTTTCTTTTACTTGATAGTAATTGTTTGAAATGTCACTAATTTTCTAAATTAACAACATTGCAGGTGAATAAAGAATATAAGAAATTTAAAAACAAGGATTTGTCATTAATATGGTACCTCTATGATGCTCTGTTTTCAAATATTACTGCCACTAGTGATCGAGCAAGAGCACCTAGCCAAATTGATGCCCTCAACATTGAAAATGAATTTGCAGGTGAATCATTAGGGATGAGTGAAAATAGAGATGAAGGAATCAATGTTGATTTTGAAAGAGATGATGACAATGATGTGCTAGGAAGAAATATAGAAAAACTTGAACATGTCCCCATCAAATTCCCATCTTCATCTCTTAACAAAAGAAAAATTGGAGGAACCAATAACAATATGAAGAAAGGGAAAAGGTCGGTTGCATCATCATTGAAAGAGAATATAGATTCTCTTATTGTTATGCTTAGTGATAAGAGTACTACCGAATCTTCTAGTCCGTTCTAGCATGAACCAACAATAAAAGAATGCATGGATATGCTAAAGAAGGTGCCTGGAATTGAAATATCGGGTCCTCTTTATTTTTATGCCTTAACCTCTTACCAAGAAAGATATGAGAGCCTTTTTTTTTTTTTTTTTGGTCATAGTGATAATGAAGTTCGTTTGAATTGGCTGAAGTATAACTACATGAAGTTAGAGGGAAAGAGTCCATAGTCATTTCTTTTATTTCTTTTATGTCTTATCGTTCGGATTATTTGGTCATTTCATTTTATTTTTATTAATGTTATTGTGTTTCAAACAAAATAACTTGTTTGTTGAATGATAAATTTGTTTGGATAATTGTGATGAGTGACCATTGCGATCAAGATATTTGTTATTTTTTTTGTTATTGAAGACATATATTTGACTATTATTTTTTCATTTTTTAATTTACTGGAGCCATGGGATATTTCAAAATTGGTTTCTACTTATTACAATTTTGTGGTTGACGAGCATGGCGATAAAGAGGATGAATTACAAGCTTTGGTGAGTCAATGGGAAGAACAAAATTGTAGTTGGATGACTATTTGTGAGATAATAGTTAAGTGCATTATTTTATACTATATGAATTACATTGAGAAAATCCCATGTCATACTTCTATAAGAACTGGTCACATCTTGATCTAAGAAATATTGGAAGGGAATGAAAATCGTTGTTATCAAGATTTTCACTTGATAAAATTTGTCTTCCTTGATTTATGTCATGATTTAACCATTAAATATGATATGAAGCCTACACGAGGGATGTCGGTATATGAGGAAGTAGACATATTCTTAACGATGTGTGCTCACAATTGTGGGATTAGATTGATTCAAGAAATATTTAATCATTATGGTGAATTACTTCTTTTAGCTAAAGATATTATTAGACCACATCCATAATACAATCGAGGAAAGGGATTTCACAAACCACAGAATCCAAAATACAAACATTTCGATGTAAGTAATGATTATTACGCAATATATATTTTTTCAAAGTATTATTATTAATTTGATTCATGATTATAATTGTATGAAGCAGTAATTTTTATTTTTTGTCATGTTAATAGGATTGTATTGGAGAATTAGATGGCACACATGTGAAAGCTAAATTAAATTGCCTCAGGGGAAAGAAATACTTTACATTGGACGTAAAGGGTATCCTACTCAAAATATTCTTGCAATACTAGATTTTAATAAGTGCTTTACATTTGCATGGGCTGGATGGGAAGGTGCTACACATGATAGTCGCAAATTTTCTAAGGCATTCCACAGAGAAGAGTTAGAATTTCCCCATCCAACGGGCAATAAATATTATTTGGTAGATGCTGGATATCCCCATACGTGGGGATATATGAGTCCATACAAAGGAGAAATGTAAGATATCACTTGGAAGATTTTCCGCGTGCTCGAACAAGACGATTACGTGCACCAACAAGAAAGAAAGAAAAATTAAACTATCTACATTCTTCGTGTAGAAATATTGTTGAACAAGCTTTTGGTGTGTGGAAAGCACGTTGGTCTATCTTGAGAGATGTAAACCCCACGTCATTATTCCGATGCCCTAAGGTATGAAATTCTACCTTTACAGGTAATTTTCTTTTCTAAATGGAAGGGTAAAATGATCATTTTGCATGCATTTCGAGATGTGACCGTTATAAAGTGTAAATGTCATTGAAGAGAAATAAGGGTAGAATGGTCATAAAGTAGATTAGTAGGGTTAAATGGCTTAAACGATACCAAGGGTATAATGGTCTTTTCACATAAATCCATATGAATTAAATATCCATAAAAGTGCACTAAGGGTAAATTAGTCCTTTACCTAATGGGATTGCTTAATCACCAAGCGTTTAAAAGAAGTCAAATGACATTAAATGAGTGCTAATCATTATGTTGTGGTGGAAATGACCAAAACACCCTTATAGGAAAAATTTATGCCAAATGACCCTTTTATCTAACTTTTAATGACCAATCACAATAGAGTATTAATGAAATAAACTCTACAAGGTTTTAAGAGAGAAGTGTCGGCCTTGTACACTCCAAATGCATTATCTTCTTCCTCACTCAAATCCACCATCAAAGCCACTAATCCAAGCATTGTCTTTTCAAATTTTCTTAGGGTTTCAAGCAATTTCTTGAAAGAGATCAAGATACACCTTAAGGAGATTCAATTTGAAGGGTTAAGGTAATCCCTAAAACCCTAGCTTGATGAGTTTGAATGTATTAAAGCAATTTCATGAGTGTTAATGCTTGTTATATGTGAAGGTGTTTATTTGGAGCCAAGGAGGAGTGTTTTTTTTGTGTGTTTTGATTGCCAAGGTAAGGGGAAAACCTCTCTTTAAACTATGGTATCAACACCTAGGGTTAACAAACCTTAATTTTTGTTATGTTAATTTGATGTATAAAGTTATGGTTTGTTTATTTATTGTTTGAATTGGTGTTAATTGGTTAAGGTTTGTGTTGGAAAAGGAGGAGGATATTGCCACTTAAGAGATTTGTAGTTGGACGATGGTTGGCACTTGTTTGAATGTGAAAATGAGGGTTTTATGTGACTTTTATGACTTGGTTTGTGTTTGAGAAATGCTTGAATAATAATTAAATAATGGGCATGCAAAAGAATGCGGTATCCACCTTCCAAATAAAAAAATTCCAAATTTCTTTGGAAATTCGGCTAAGGCACCAAATAAATCCTATGGCCTAACATGAACAAGAACGGTAAAAGACACGTAGTGAAATTCCTTATGTATCATGAAATTTTGAGCGAATTAAGAAAATGAGAAGTATTAAGAAAATATTCATGACAAAGAATTTTGCTCAATTGACTAAAGATTTATGAAAGTGTCATGGGTATATGCTAGATGAATGAATGTTATGAATGAGCGTGTCCATAAGTTAGCTATAAATGACATGTATGATGAATGCATATGTAATGTTTATGTATGTTCAAGGGAGATGTTATCCCTATGAATGCATTCTAAATGATAACGTATATAGCTTAGTTAGTTAACTTATGGAGGATTTATGAAATGCCAAAGAAAGGTTTTCATGAGTCTCTTGAGGCATAAGGCCAAGATCAGAGTAATGGTATATGAGTTCCATGAGTCTCTTGAGGTGTAAGGCCATGACCAAAGTAATGGTATATGAATTCCATGAGTCTCTTGAGGTGTGAAACCAAGATCAGAGTAATGGAAATTTTATGGAAACCATGAGTCCTTTGAGGTGGTAATCAAGAACAAGTTAATGGTTAAAATGAATTTGATCAGTTCGTAAAGATAAATGAAATGTCAAATGCCTAGATAAAAGAAATAGGCATGTCATGTTTGTGAATGTTGCATGATTCCTATATGTTAAGTGTTTTAGCATGTTTTAAATATACTATGATTATATGTATAAGAAAGTCAATGTGAATATCATGACTATGATTGATGACATTGACAATGAATAATATATTGTGAATTTGTGAACGTTTTGTATGTGTAAGAAATCCATGAAAGTTAGAATAGTCATATCCCCTTTTTGAGTGATTAGCGCTCACCCTACGATGTTTATATGTTTTGTAGGTAAGGATTAAGGCATGAAGTTGGGAGAGGATTCCAAGCGACGCTACAAGCATGAAGGGATGTTATTATGGGATTTTGAGAACTTGGTTACAATGATGACTATTGAATGGTTTTGCTAGTATTTAGTGAAGTAATTATGTTCATATTTCATAATGTAGTAAATATATTCATGTTCTATAATGGAGTAAATATGTTTGTATTAATAAAGGAAATTAAATTGCTAGTAAAGTTTGCAAAAGTCTGTATGTTCTAGTAATTATTACTATTTTCATAATTTACTCAAAGAAAGTAAACTATATTATTGGACTTGTAAAATGAATTTATTATAGTTTAGAAAAAAAAATGTTTTTAAATTACAAGTTTATTCTTTAATTAGGGTTTTAAAATAAACTTATTTCCTAAGCATGCATTTTCTAGGTTCTCAATGGCCAATGGATACTTAGGAAATACTGATGAACAATTTAAATCCTCTCAAGTATACGAATCGCAACTGTAATATAGTGTGCATATGCAAGGGTCGATCTCACAGAGATTTGTAAGCACTCAATTAATCCTAATAAGCTATGCCTTAATTAAGACAAATAAACTTAAATAAATCTAAAGAATTGATGAGGTAACCAACTTAAAGTAAAAATAACTAATACTAAACAAACTAACAGAGAATAAATTCAAAACTAATTTAAGAACCAATGAACTAAAACCTAGGTATCCAATTTCACCATAATAATCCAGTTTTATCCAACTATCAAACTATTGTTATCACAATCCAATTTCTATGGTTCGCACTCACATAATTAAGGTATTACCGTAAGACATTCAAGATTAACCTAGTATCTTTAACATGAGACTAGCTAGGGCATATAGTCTAGCCTAATGATTAAAAACCCATTAAACACAAAAGCACTTGAAATCATGAATAAAGGCGCACCTGTCAGGGTGTATGCACAAATACTAATCATTCAAGAAATCATGAACCAATTAGCATTCTGTCAGGGCGTATGCACAAAATACTAATCATTCATTCACATGAGCTATTCAAGATTAGCTAGGTGTGTAGTCTAACCTTGTCTCATACAATCAATTAATCAACATTAAAGGTGATCAATTAATAACATTAATTAAAGATTGAATAAAAGATAATGAATAAAACTAGAATTACAATGGATTGATAAGACAAATAGAATTAACAAAGACATAAAACCTTCTTATTAGGCTACATTGGATCCCTAGAAAAGTATTTAGTTACACATGAGCATAAGGAAATCAAACCTCAAAATCTTGAAAACCATGAAGTACAAGAAGAAGAAGAAGATGAAACCCTAGGTAAGATCTCCTCTCCTTACCTCTTCCTAATTATCTTTGATAATATAAACCCTAGCTCCCTAAAATATTGCTAAGGACATCTATTTATTATATTAAAGTTGTGAG